ATAGCTTCGACAGTCAGATTACAGCGTCAGCACTTCAGAATTGCGCATTTTGCAGATGACTGAACAGTTTTTGACTGTAAAAAAAGATCCCCCCTAACAGCTAGAGTTCACATCCCACCGAAAACACCGACATTTTACCCCTGAATCAAATAAACTAATCAATAGCGGCTGGTCCGAATTTAAAGAGTAAATATAAACACACCGAAGCGCACCTACATTGCCTGAAGACAGTACCTGCCGATCCTTTAACTGTAAATCAGCCGAATAAACTGCGTTGCGGCCGTTTCTCACAAAACAAAGATTATATGTTACCATATAGGGACACATAATTTGCGGGGCTTATAGGCTCCCACGGACATAGAACTTCATGTTGCGAAGAGCTTACCTCCGGCAAGTCCTCCGGCAAGTCCTCCGGCAAGTCCTTTTAGTCCTCCAGCAAGCCCTCCAACTCCTCCTGATAAAGAGTAAACGTACACTTTAATTGGTAAATAATGCGTTTTGGGGGCATTGTTGTAAATGACTGCCATCATTTCACTGCAAACCAAAGCGCGTGCCATTGAGGTAATACTAGTAGATTATTAGCCTGAGTCTGCATGCTATTTCTTAAGTCTGCAAGATTATTTATGGAAGACCGTCTCACTATCACCCCGGACGGAGAATTAAGTAGAAATAGTGCCACCAGTACATTGTTTCGCATCGATTGGAGGTAAATTAATTGTTGGATTTTGAGGGAAAAGGATGATAAAGTTATTTGAGATGGCTATGGTAAACTCGTCCAAAGCGAAAACGTAGAGCAGTAGTGATACTAGTGATATACTAGTGAAATGAAAGCACTATGTTATGCAGAGGTAGCACTAGAATAAGCCTTTCCTTCAAGCACCGAGGGAGCAAGCACTCAGCTAAGCCATATTTAAGATTACTACCAAATGCAAAGCGAAAAGCAACGGAACAGTAACATGCGGCGACAACCATAATGACTGACTCAACAAATATTCGGTGCCGTATACACTGGAATGCAGGCAGCTAAAACATGCAATTTCAGGAAAAGGAGTCCTTTCAGTAAATATTCGACGCGGGATCCCCAGCTTGCCTTTAGACTTCAGAAAAATGTGCAAAGAACAATTAATATGTCATAGTGCTGAAGCTGCTATATTGTTGTCTAGTGTGGGCGCTAATTGTTTGTTGCGATTTGCGTTACATCGCAGTCGTAATGACGTAATGGCTAATTAACAATTGCAATTTGAGTAGGTGCGTGGTCAGTCTGGGTCATTCGGTGTGAGCGCTAATTGCGGTTCATGATGGTCTGAAGTTGTCGGCTGTAGTCTCTTCCACCTTTCTTTGAGGTCTTTGTACACTCCAGCCGGTTGGTGCATACATCGTCGAAGTGCATGCCGTAAAGAAAGTGTCGGCCTTTTTTGGAGGTGCAAACTCTGATGATGCGTGTTTTGTGCCAGGTAGAGTTCTGTCCTGTGTCAAGGCAATAAATAGCCACTTCGGACGAATAGTCACGACTCTTCAATGCCAAGTGATGCTCGTGGATGCGTGTGGAGACAGCACTACCTTGTTGAGAGGATGGGTTGTTGCCCTTATAGTTAAGAACTAATTCCGTGTACGTGTCTTTGAGGTAAGCAGACGTTTGTAATATACCCTCAGCAGTTCGCTTTAAGAGAACATCAAGAAATGAGAGTTTATTGTTAACATCCATCTCGAGCGTGAACAGAATACTCGGAAAATTTGATTTGATGGTGTTGTCCGTCGCTTCGAGTCGCCTGCATGTTCTACATATCGTACCCATAACTTACGGTTACTCGACGAAATGGCCGTTCCAAACAACAGGCAAACTCATCTGCTCTTAACTTAATCCCTCGAGATCGGCAAAAGTATTTTTAAGCTGTCTATAGGCCTCCCCTCTCTCTGACCGTTTCGGACGTTGCATAGTAAACTGATTCAAAGGCGTTTTTAAACACGTTAAGATCAAACCGTATTGGCTGTCCCTGTTACATGGACCAGGACCTAATGTTACACTGAGGTTTTCTGGTAGCCAATACTGCCGATATTGAAAACATGATTTGACAGAAACGTGCAGTCAGAAAAATAAAGAGCCCTATACGACCAAATGGAACGGAAGCATGTCCCTGCTCATGAATTATAAGAGACAAATGCATTATTTTGTTGTGGAAATTTTAGAGTAGTCGCCCCACAACATGGTGATTTCAGGAACGGTATATTGATTTTAAATTCTTCTGTAAAGAGGACAGGCATACAAGACATCCGGCTCAACGTCTCTCCCATATTGACGTCTCGCAGCAAAGAAAATAAGGTAGACAGAATGCGCCCTCCGGGTTGTATGGTTAGCAGAGGTTAACAGACTGTGCACGGTTCTAAACAGAGAATTCTGCACAAACTGTGCTCGACTCGAGGACGAGGCCCAATAAGGCTGTATTCCTTGTGTCATAAGCGTCGAGTTCGATTGCCTCCAACTTTAAACACTGAGTCATAGTTGATATACATAATGCCATGATGACAGCCCATTACCGCTATACCACTGCATGAGTTCGGGTCCTTATAAAACACGAGTACTCGTTCTTTTTCGGCGTGGCGTTCGCGAAGGCTATCTTATGTTGCCCATTCTTTTCAACGATGTTGCTGACTGGATTTACAGGAAGGGACCAAACGAACCGGCCGTAGTTGAGGCTAGAGCCGGACGTCAGTTGACTGACCCCTATCACGTCGATTAAATTGCCTTTGAGCTTTGGTAATCTGCAGTCTATGATGTCACGTGTGAACGAGATCGCCTAGTTGCTCGGTTTGCCCATAAATGCTGCTCAAGAGAGGGCAGTTGCCGGATAGACAGAGTGAGAATGGCTTTATCGTCCAATCCAACGGTGCACATCGGGTCTTCTAAGGACTAAGATAGTGCCTTTGGACCCAATCCTACATCTTTAGCGCCATGTTTAACGCACGTGCTTTGTGTCCATTCAGCCTGTCCTTTTATACTGCTGCCTTTGCTGAGCATCGCGTTTGGGAGAGGAGCGAACACCTTTTACACTACTCTGTGGAAACGCTTTAAACATATATGTTCGAAGGGAAGTTGCAAACTTCGACAGAATTTCCGTCGTGTAAATTATGTTCCGTAGCAAATGAAAATAGGCATCCAAAGAAATATAATTTGATCGAAAAGATTATTTGGCAAACGAGAAACCAGGCACATCAGGTCGCCGACGGAGATGATGATGAGGAATCATTATTTTTTTTCGGCATGTTCAAAAATGCGCAACCTTCTTTACACATTTACCTCATACCGACGACGGCGACGACGACCTGGTGTCCCAGCGTCGAACATTTACAATGCATTTTGTTTCTCGTTTCCCAAAGAATATTTTCGATCAAACTCTTTGACTACTTCCATGTTTGGAGAAGTACAAAATAATCTCACGGAAACCAGTATGTTACATGCGGATGGCGTTCATGAGGAAGCCGTGGGGTTGGAATTGCTTGGATAGCTACCAATGAGAGGGCGCGCGCATAGACACTCTGCCGTGGTACAGATGGAACGTTGTGTCTAATTGCAAGAAGGTAAAGTTTCCCGCGTCCAGTTGTAAAACCAATCGTATTTTACTGCGTTTCCCTAAACCTTACACAAAAAACTAACTTTTGCATTCACCCTTGCCCTAAAATTGACCCCGATATGTACTATTGTGTTAATTTTAACTTTGACCTAAATAAAATCCTGATCTCTCTAGAATGCGGCACAGCGTCATTCATTCGGCTCCGCATGATTCACCGCGGGGCCATATAGAAAAACACCTACTAGCTAGCTAGCGCAAAACGCATCACTTTGGAAAACGAATTCCGCGAGATGTCGGCTAGGACACATAAGATATGCCTTTTCCAGACTGCATTATATAATTATGCTGCAAGTCAATCGCCTGTAAAGTTAAACGTTATGCATAGGCATAATTCCTTTGTAGCAGAGTACTAGGTTGACACAACACAAAGCAACGATCGAAGGCAAAGCCCTTTAACAGTTTGTTGACTTACCGAGTAGTCCTACAGGTAAAATGTAAAGTTAAAATAATATCATTATATACAGTACTTTAGTGGTATAAATGCATATGAGCTATGTTTGTCTTTATATTAAGATGGCATCTTGATGTTTTCTAATGAATCGGAAAGCGTCCATTAAAGTTGGGTCATGGTAGGTATAGCCCAAAACATTGCTTAGGTTTAATTTTTCGAGAATGTCGCAAAACATAATGCAAAGGCAGGTTAATAACAGCTTAATTGAACCAGAAAACAAACTTTCTCTCAGTGATGAACGATGTTCCATATAGGCAAGTAAAAGTATTATAAAATATTTGGAGAAGATGATAGTACCTACTCATGAAGGATAAATCATTTCGAACAATAATCCCATGAACAATATTTGCGTGAGTGCGCTTCTCGTGCCCAATGAAACTGGCTAAGTGGTCGGTGTGAAAGCGCTAAGTACGTGCTTACTACCTTTGAAATTGCAAATGCCAAGTTGTCAATTTCTGAAAAGAGATGCTTACTGAATTGACCTTCCAGGCTTAACAGGTCAATATGAATTAATAGTATACAATGTTGTCAGTTGTATTAATTACCTTTTAATAGATCCACTAGTTTTTGTAGTCCTCCTAGTCCTCCTCCTCCTCCACCTCCTC